GAATACAGGGTTTGAAAGTATTTATGCATTTAGTTTGCCTTAATGCGTTTCTACGAAAACAATTTGCAACAAATTTATTTAATTTATTTATTATGCTTTTGTTTAAATAAAACAATCAAGTCTCTAAAAAGCAAAACTCTACTGAAAGCGAAACATGTTAAACCTTTTCAAGTCTGAATATGTGGCAGAACATTTTTCAATTGTATGCAAATAATTGCACGAAGCATTTTCTTTAAGCATTTATTCAAGTAATATGTACGGAAATGGTTAATTAAGATTTTCCAAATGAATGGAAATAAAGTTTATTAAATAGGATTTTTATACCTCACAGCTCTTGTTGGTGGTTGAAGCGTGCGCGGATATAGTCAACATCCTGAAATATATTGAGATAGATCCCCCTTTTGCTACACAAAATTCATATTCAGAATCATTACCGGAATCAATTTCCGAATCGATCTATGCTTGTCTGTTCGTCTGTCCGTCTGTCCTACTCTCTATCTTACTTACTTGTGTTCAACCTATAGACCGCGAGATATGTGAGATATTGCGGCCAAGAATGAAGCCCTTTCTACATGTCTCCTTATTCTCCTCTCAACCCCCCCCCCCCCCCCCCCTTTATGGGATAAAAAAGACTTATTTCCAATATTTCGCTATAAAAATTAGCCGACAATAGTAAGTTGGCATAGAAATTGACCTTACCAAATTTAGACCTATTTTAGATCTACTTTCTGAATGTCATCGAATATAAATGCTTTTCATTAAAGTTAATTGGGCTGCATTCCATGAAGTGGTTCTCAGGAATAGGAGGTCCTCTTTAGCAGCCCATGGATAGGCCTTTAACTTAGAAATTGACAATAACGCATGTGGATCGTATAAGTCCAATATATCCTTTAGATTCAATCATTTAGAGGGGCTCTCATAAAAAGTAGGCCGACATATGTCGATAAAGTCGAACTTGTACGGGAAAATAAATAAAACCTTCGACAAATAAAAATTGAATTTGCAAAATTTAGATCATGTCAAGTACGTTAATAATATATGTGAATGTGATGTAAATGAAAATTTAAATTTACTTTCCACTTATTTGCTAGTGAAGTCCGTAATAAGACGATCTGAACATTTTCCATTATATCAATCGTTCTCTCTCCGAAACGATGAGATATTTAAGCTTTCACATCGATTCTTATGAATTTTTATATAATGGGAGGGAAATTGAATTGTGTTTGCGGTCGGGGGAACGGATATTCATTCAGATTTACAATTTATTCGTTAAATCCGTCTATGTCGTTAATGATATTAAATATCGTTTTTGTACAAACGAAAAGCAATTAAAGTTCAACGATTTTTTTTAGTATAAGTATTAAAGTAATTAAAATGGGATTAACGCAGATTTAAGTCATTTTTTTTAATGTTTTAATGTTTTAAAACTTCTGTTCATCAATGGTTAATATCACGATATATACATATATATATATATATATATAAATATATAATGGTATAAAGCAGTATTTGAAAATAATTATAACAATTGTGAAGATTAACCGTAAAATTATACCATTTTTATTTTATTATTGAGTATGAATATTAATGCGATTAAAGTGAAATATTTAATTAAAATATGAAAATTTTGCACAACTATTTACAAAGTCAATGAACACTTTTGCATGTATGCATGTCCGCATGTACGCATGTACTCATGTATAACTTGTGTTAGTGCTTTCAACTTTAAATGAAAATATTTCATCAAAGTGGAGTTCAACTCGTAGCTTTTCATCACATTTGCAAGTGCAACGAGTACGTTTTCATACACTTTTGGTTAGAAGAATACATTTTGTTTTTTTTTTTTTACTTACCTTGACTTTCATCCAAAGGACAGAACGAAAGAGAATTGAATGCAAGTGGGACCGTCTTTTTATACCTATGCCCATTACCGACCAATCGTGGGCATATTCATTTTGTCACAATTTTTGCATCAAATTTTGAGTCGATTTAAGCATATCTCTCTGTCCATCTGTCCGTTTGCATAATTTCTATTGTAAACCTTCTTCTTCGGCCCGCAAATATTATGCTATCAACTTCAAATTTGGGAAAAAACATTGGAAGTGCTTGTACGCAGATTGGTATTGAAAATGATCTAAGTTGGTCGCAGGACACCTCTACGGTACTACATAAAATGAGAACATTACTGTTGTTCACGATGTATGCAAACGCAAACTGCAACGCGTATATTAATGAAGATTTGAAAGCATATTCTATGGACGAACTATAAAGGACTGGAAACAGTTGACCACGCCTACTTAATATTATAGTGTATCAAAATATAATTTTAACAGAAACAGGTTTCCAATCTTGAATGCACCTAAGCATGTACGTCTGTTCTTCTGTCTATTTTTTGCGTCTGCCCAACTGTGTAGCATGTGCGTTGAACATTCTGTCGTTAACGAAAATCGCCTGCAAATTTGCAACCTAAACTTTTCAAAGGACACACCTACAACGCGCATAGGCCCACTTTTGAGCGCATAAAAATTTACTTAGTTTACTTTCTTTCTGTCTGCTTTATTATAATATTAAGTCGGCGATGGGTATAGAAGATTCGGTCACAACCGATGTTTATGTGTTTAATATTCATTATTTTGTATTCTTTAAGGGACCTAGCTACGCATTTGGCCTTCCCTCATGGTTTATAAGCTAATCTCTGCCATAATTAAATGTTTTAGAGTTCGCTTCAAATATTTTCATTGGAACGGTCCAACTTCCAATAACAATTCTCATCCGGAAATACTGAATATTCTGACACTAATAACTAAGAGATATTCTTATCTCTTGGAGATGGATTGCCTGTGAAATTTCAAGAAATTTCAATATATTTACCCAAGTTTTGAAATGATTCTTATTTTGAATCCCAATTCCGGCAGTATTTTAACAACGCTTGGAAACATTCACAAAACCCAGTTAGTAAAAAATTATTTAGTAGAGCAGTGGTAAGGTTATAAGTGTGTTTTCTTTTGCAATGCAATTTTTTCCGTATTTCTCGAATTGTATAAGGGAAACACTTTCAGAGGACGGGAGAAAGAGAAAAGAGACATCTAAAAGATAAATTTAATGTTTCTTCTGAAAGATTGCAGTTGAAATACATATCCGTTGCGGTATTAAAGAAAAGCTCTTCTGTATTTCTTTTTTGCAGACTGTCTAAAAAGCAAACTAACGACTTTGTTGCCACAAGATGGTTTGCAATTGCTAATAGAAGGGATGTGAAGAACGCAAAGCTTCGAAAAGTCATTACAGGTTTTTCATCAAAAAACACGCAATTATATGAATCAAGTACTAAAGCGTGTTCGACTTTGCTCTTTAGCATTAACTTAAGAAGCAATATAGAATATCAGAAAAATACATCGAACCCATTCAAAAAAAAAAAAAAGCCACATCGGGAACATAAGTACAAGCTACCGATTTAATAATATTAACAATGTCGTTGTCGCCCTTTTACTAACAAAGATCGGCTTGACTGTTATCGACTAAGTAAAAAATAATACAACATTTGATTGAAGTGTCCATTAACTAGAAGGAGCAACCACTGCAGCTAAGATTGTAAAGCATTTTACTCAAGTCAAGAGATCGCCACGCGAGGCCACTATTACAATAAACTCTTACATACTGCCTGCGAAAGTTTTGAAATTGCAGCGTTTTGACGATAGCGATGGATGGGTGAACTCAGACTGAATTACTGCTTAGGGCACCTAAAACTAACTTTTATTAAAATATTAACTTACTCCGAGATATCTCATATGCCGGCCGCGAACACTGTCATACCTTTGTGATGTCAGGGAGCTAATCTTAAGTTAAAATTAAAGTTTTTGGGTTTTTCCTTTCATCTATAGATAGTTTTTGCTTGCATAGATTGTATGAGGGAGAAAATGCTCCTTTTTTCTAATGAATGAATGAAAATAATGCTTCTAAATTAAGTTCTGCCCACTTCTGCCCACTTTTGCAAAAGACCCAGTAATTTGCCCTCTGAAGCAAAAAATCGTGTGGCCAGGATATGGTTTCGTGATTTGTTTGTGGTGATATACTAGGTCTATCTATTGAGAATTGGACTTGGGCAGAGTGTAATGTGATGTTTTGACATGCAGTAGCGCCTCTGTGCCATTTCTTTCTAGGTTGAAAAACGTTTGCGAAATGAAGTGAGACTGCTCGATAGCTTAGATGGCAGTGAGTTGAAGGACTAAATTTGACCCGTGCTTATTGACCGTGACTGTAACATGTTTTTATGGCCTCTTCATTCGTTCTTTTGCCACTCTGTCTTGGCAATATTCTGAACAGAGCTTAGGATTCGGTGTAAACGCAGTAAACCATCTTCGGTAGTTGGAATTCTTGTAAATCGCAAATCGTGACATCTGAATACAGTCTTCAGCGGAAGCTCTCAATAATTATGTTACTCTAATCTGATATTCGCTTCATCTGTGTGCTAATGCTTTTCTGACGGCCTAATAGTTTCGAGCATATAAAAAAAATAAAATTCATTTCTCACATTTTTTTGTAAATTTCTAACGAACGACCAGCGAATACAAAAAAAAAAACAATTCTGTACGCATACATTATTTACGTATGCACATACAACATGCATGGGTTTCACACAAATATCACTTGTACGCATCATGAGGGAAAACCTTAACACATCCGTTTCATGTAACTACTATATGCATGTAACTATGAACCGGAAATCATGATTTTACAAAAAACATAAACACATTTCATAATTTCAACTAAAAACATTTCAATGCATAGGAGAACGTGATATTTTATTTTCAATAAACGATAGCTAATAACTCCTGCAGGAGATGCAGATGAGAACGATGGAGGGCAAATAGAAGAAAAAAAAGGAGATAGCGTATTTAAATCGCTAAGGATTATTTAAATGAATTTTGCAAAATAAATAATCGCAATGACTTTTTAAAGAATGCGCTGGATAGGCCTTAGGCTTTCGTGAAATATTCAATTACCTCAGTTGATGGAAAGTTTTTCCTGCATTTTAATTAAAACATATTTTTTATTTTTTATTTTTTTTTTTGTTTTGTTGTTTTAATTAAATCATTGTTTTCATCGCATTTACTTTGAAATATTCCCGCAATTAATCTTACGTTAGACTCCGCTGAGGGGAGATAGCGTTTTTTGAGGAAATTTCACTGAAAGCTTTCGCTTTTTAATGCCAAATTAACTCGATTTGCTTGCTTCACGGATTTTTATATGTTACGCGTTATGTACATATCGATAACTGATTAAACTTTTATGTGTACATATATAGTTTGATGTGCGTGCTTCTTTCTATTCTTCTATTCTTCTACGCTTCTATTCTTTTTAACGTTTCAAGCCTCGTCTACCTTTCTACCTTCTTTTCATCTCATATCTCGTGTGTCGCCTTTAAATAAATTTTCAATTTGCATTTCTGCACTTCACACTTGACTGGTTAGCAATAACTTTTAACTTTTTTTTGGGGTTTTTTTTTTTTTTGTTTTTTTTTTTTTTTCTTTGCAAAATAAAATTAAAAATCAAACTAAAGCCGTTTACTGATTCTTATTTGGCCAATTCTTCGTTTTGCGTTTGCGTTTGCTTTTATTATTACTTTTGTTTCATATTTCGCGACTGGTGTTACACGTTATAAATTTCGTTGATAGGCATTGAAGCGAAAAAAATAAAAGATTTAATTTATAATTTTTTATGTTTTATTTTTCATTTTGAACTTTTTTTATTTAAAATTTTTATTTTTTTTTTTTTGTGTGTGTTTTGTTTTTTCCGTTTTGAAGACTAAAAGCGAACCATCTCGTTCAAGCCCCTAATCTACAGTTATGCGATAAAAAATTTATACAACTCTACCATTCGAAAACTAAATTCAAACTAAATCAAATTATTATTAGTGAATAATTACTTGTATTTTAATGCATATTCAATTCGTCGACACTATTTTGAACTCGATCCGAAATCGCAATAGAAAGCGTTGTAACAACTCGACGTTTTATCAACAACAAATTGCAAATTGCAGAGTCTATAACAATTTATTTATTGTGTGTTAAGTTTTGTATACATTTACGTATATTATTTCGCACAGGCTCTCGCGACAACAAATTTACCACATCTTCACCGTTCAAAAGTTCAAAAGCAAATGAAAATGTGGAAATGTGAAAATGTTTGGAAAATGTGAACATGATGAACATGGCATCGAGTGAGACTGCTGAGAGACTATAGGAGCAACAACAACGGCAAAACACGAACATGTTAGCTTGATTAGCTACATTCATGAGAGGGGTACATTCATTTATTCAACATGTTTGCAACACTCACACAACGAATCGTCAAATTCGATCTGGTGACAAAATTACAGGCACATGCACACGCCCATGCTCATCCACTTAACATAATGCATTTCATAAATGTGTTTAATAATTAAATGCTGTACCCTCTACTCTAAATACTCTGCATATATTAACTTCTAGTATTGTATTGTAAAACGATTAAAAAACCGAATAGACATAAGTAGACATAAAAAACAAATAAAAATAGACATTTTTTTATTACCTTACATCATTTCATTTTTATATAATATTATTAATTTAATTCGGAGAAAGGAAGCGTCCCTCCAACACTAGGGAGGTAGCGATAGGCTAGATAGTAATTTGGCGTTAAAGGCGCCCTTTCGACTTGAAAGTTTACAAAGCATTATTAAATGAAGGAATCTCGAAGAGATGCTGAGCAGAGGAATACGCTTATGAAGAATATGCAAACGTAGTTTAAATATTTTTACAGCTTTTATGCGTTCAGTGGAAGGCAGTGGATATGGGTCATAGATTCCTTGTTCGTAACATTCAAAACATTACAATAAACATCTATGGGCGATCCCTTCTATATTTATGCAATGTAAGGAATTATATATTTTTAAAACCCCAACGCCAATGCCAACGCGAACGCGAACGCGAACGCGAAGGCGAACGAAGCCTCTGTTACGTAAATAAAGTAGCATTACGCTATCATAGTAACATCGATAAAAGGTCAATAATGTTAAGTTAAGATAATTATGATTAACTTTGAATATTAAATTTTCAAATTTAAGAAAATACTTACTTTATATACTTGCATATTTAACACATATTCTAAATATGTATGGGTTGTATGCCTTTTAATTTATTATTTAAAATCCTTTCGTTTTGAATTTGCTTTGCTGCTGCCTGCGTTTGCCATATATTCTTATGAGGCCCGTTTTTACTCTTTGGGAGAGTAAAATTTATTTGGCTGCATATGCTGTTTATGAGACCCGTTTTGATTTTTTTTGAGAGTAAAATTGTTTTTAGGGTTGGGTTCGAGAGTTCGTTTCAGACTCAGACTGAATCAAACATTGGCAAATGCGGTTGTTAATGTTCTTGGTAAAGTAACATTTATCTACATACACACATGCATATGTAGATAGATACAATACATATATATATATATAACTTCCTTTACCCTCTAGTTTATATGCCTGAGAGATGTGGATTAAACTGCTTTAGAACAGATTCGATTTTATTGGTGTCTGCATTCGTGCAGATTCTCTCGCTCTCTCTTTCTTTCTCTCTTGGATTGCGTTGTCCTGTTATTAGCAGTCTGTGAATTTAAAATTTACCGGCGATAACATTGTTAAAACACTCGAGTATTCTCTCGCTCTCTCGCTCTCTCTCTCTCTTTCGTTATCTCTCTTATTCTTTATTTTTACTAAATATTCCGAGAACACCAGCGTTAACATTGTTTTTAGCTTATTGATATGTGGAAGAGGGGGGAGGGGCAGAGATTTCGGTGTTGACTTTTCGCATATCCGGGTGTTTGGCTGGCTGTAATGAGCGTTTTGTTGTTCGTTGACCGTGTAAGCAAATGAATGAAAATTGTAAACAAATAAACAGACGGTTGCAGACGGAAAACCACGTGTACCACGTGTTCCTTATATAGTTCCTAAAATAGTGAAATTCCCAGCTACACAGAAGAGGACTTTTTTACGTTATTTGTTTATTCATTTGCAAAAGAGAGTCTCAAGTAAATTACGGCAGTGTGCACCGAGAGAGTATACAATATATTGCACGCATTTTTAAAGGATAACTCCCCAGAAGAAATGCACTTACTTTCTTTATATGTCTTTTGCATCGTTTCCAATCAGTTTGCCAACCCTTTTATAATTAATTTTCCTTTATTATTTATAAATCCTTTTATAATATATTACTAATATCTGGGCTGTGGCTTGCAAATTTTATTATTTGTTTTGTTTCTTTTTTTTTTTTTTTTTTTTTTTTTTTCTATATATACTTTTATAAATCAAAACGGTGCACTTATCGTATATTGGCTGAAGTATGATGTAACTGCAAGTGTTAGCGAACGGAAGCCTTGGAAGCCTTGTACAAAGTTTAACACGCACGACTTCGTTTCCCAACATAATTTCTCTAAAAGTTGGGGAACAAGAAGAAAATTCTGTTCGCATTAACAGTGTAACAGCCTGCAATTAATCCGATTTGTATAAAAGGCTGTAACAGAGCTCACAAAAAATTAACCCTCTTCAGGGCGAATTCGCTAAAAAAAAAACATTCGAAAACATTTCGAAAAATACAATGTAACACTTTTATAGCATCCAGATGTAAATGCAAAATATTTCTTCATTTTTATGCATTCTACATGCATAAAGTGATCAGTTAGTACTAACCAAATTTTTAAACGTCATATCGTCCTTTTTCCCATACTTCCGTCAAATTTGAAATTCGTGTGTAATATTGTATGGCAAATCACGATGGGACCATGGGAGCATGCCCCCATGCACAAGTTGTACAGCGTAAAAAATTTTTCAAATTTGTATTACAAAAAAAAAAAAGCAATAAATTCCTTCAAACTACGTTACGCACATTACAAGAGATTTACGGTCAATGTAATCGACCTACATGGCTTACTTATCGGGTCAAATGGTAACGTTGGTGACGTGAAGAATGCAACCTGTCAAAATGTGGATCAAAATCGAGCACCAATGGACGACGCTACAGAGACGTGGTTACTGATTCTTTTGTGGCATGAAGTCGTCGATGCTTTCGACGCGTACCATGTGCGATTTCAACACGATGATGCAACATCACGTACATCTCGTGAGACAACCAATATGTTGTTGTTGTTGCTGTGTTGTTTGATTACCCTTTGCACACTTTGTAAACTAATAGCAAGATTTTTATTTACATAAGAGATTTTGAAACACTTTCTCTCAAGCCCTTTATTTTTAAAATTTCATTTCCCTTGCGAATCCTTTCTTGTTTCACGAGAACAAGAGAACACATATCCCGATCTTCAGAGCGAATTTGTACATACATAATGTAATAGAGATCGACGCGTTACCCGCCTTTTAAGTCATTTATCATTTTAATTAACATGAGAAGCCGAATCAGGCTGGCTGCGTTCTTTCGTCTATCCCTCCTTTCTTTCCGTTTATTCCTCGATCTTACGTTTCTGCAAACTCTTCTTGAACCTAATTAGGATTTAATATAATGGCAAATCGAGAGTTATCAATCCAAATGATTGAAGTCTAGCAAACACACCACGTACCTGAGTCATTTTTGTGTTGTTTTTCTCGTAAAACAAAGTCGTTAGGCTTCGTGCCAATAATCGCTTCGCAGCGATTGTGTTAGTGAACTAACAGGAAATATAATAAACGAATTATTTTAATTAACTAATCAAATTAATAATAGTTAATTAATTAAATAATTTAATTTAGAAAAATTATTTAAAATAAAAAACCCTTTACATTCCAAATCGTCCAAGTCGCAAACTGAAACTCAATAAATAATCATAAAATCGCGATCATATGGCGCATCATTGCTATTGAAACGGTTAAGACCGAAGAATTTTCTGCTAAGTTAACACATCTATTACGATTTCTGTAATAAGAGTTGTCTTGTCGTTAACATAAGGTTGAATGAATGAACTGAATGATTAATATTAGCTGTGTTTTCTGTTTGTTTCTCTTTGTTCACGCCTTGTACGAGCATTTTAATTAGCGAATAGTAATTAAAAGAATTCTTAACTATTGCACATAGCGAATGAAGACACAACACTTTTTCAGCTCGCTTCTCGGCATTTTTTACTTCACATTCGAAGTCTTGTATATGCAAACGCTCGTCTCATTCGTTGTCTCTGTGTACGCTGTTGTTTGCACTTTTCAAGGTTAAGGCTTAACAAACATTAGAAAGTACCCGGATGATAATCGAAAATGAGAACCATACGTTTCCCTCAGAGCAGTCTATCAAAAAAACTTTAGATTTTTGATAAGACGAAAAGTTCGGTTTCGGGAAAATTCCACAGACAGCGTGGCTGGTCCATAATTGGGACAAGAGCGCTCTGTATGGGCGAACGCGAATCTCTTAATTGTTCGCAAAAACACTTTGAACTTGTAAAGGAATATAAAAAAAACAAATTTTGCTATTATGTTATATGTTTTCATTAAAAACATTGTTTCCGGACGTCTGGGCGTCTATATATTACAGATAGTATTGTCCTTATTGGACAACGTATTCATGTTGTAATGATAATTATTTTTAAAGAAAATCGTTACCCATACACCAATGTTTGTTAAGTAACATTGGGGAAGTTTGTTAATAAAAATAAATTAAGTTAAGTCCGATTATTGTCAGACTTAATGTGAGTGTAAGATCTTTCGTATATAGGAGATGAGAGAAACGACTATAACGTCGGCACTCCCGAACTCAATTTCCAGCGCCGTAGACAGCGATTGAGTACGATTGGCGTTTGGCGCACTCTTTCCTTCTCCATGACTATCATCGTGTTTATGCACCTCACTGTGTTGTCATTAAAAAGTCCGTAATAATCCTCACAACTAACGGACGATTTCGTGCATTGATCAAATGTCCTAAAGTACATAAACGATTCGAGTGCAAAAATTGCATATGTATACAATAAAAGCGGCTGCGCCCGTCCCATAAATAAATTTTATTTTTATATTTTGCGTAACGGAATCGGCTCGTGAGTTTCTCACATATATCCCTTCTCCTTTTTTCGCATTTCAGGCGATTATGGCGACGAAAGTTATCACGATGTTTAACGAAAGACTTACACAACTCTTCAATATACATATTAATGTTTTTTTGCCTTATCG